AAAGCCCACGATGCCAGTCTCTGTAGCATCGGCCGGGTACACGGCAACAAGTAGACGCAATCTTGACTATAGCCTATACATCAATGATACTCTTATCAAATATCAGGCACACCTCTGCATTGTTTTTCTGTTGTTCGCGATTTCAGGTTGCAGGCGCCTACAGGCGTGTAGATTTGCAGTCATCATTAATCGCTTAACATCAGATGAACCATTACCACCACTTTATTACAACCACCTCTAGACCTTTTTTCCATAAAAACTGATGAATGAAGATTCAAATCAATTATTGGGTAGTGTTGTACATTTCAAAATAAATACACATTTAATATTAAACATTTATTTATGTTATTTCAATTACAGCATAGCTTTATGGAAGCAACACTTGAGAATAAATTGAATAGAATCACTAAAGTCGGCTTTGACGGTTGAAATTTAATTTCGCACAAATACCTAAAGGTGTGTCCCGACGTGGCAAATTTGAAAATTTCAGGGGAAGCTTAGCTCTAATTACATCTGTATCTTTGAACGGATCCGTGCTTAATATTCGTTAATGAGAACGTGCGGAAATTAAAATATTTTATGGCCATGTTACCGTTATTCGCGAAGAGTACGAAGAAATTTGCGTTTTGTAGTATAACTACTATGACTTTCGCAGTAAAAGTTGATTCAAATCATTAGTTTTGTGGGCGGGTCGAGTTTATCGATGTATTGTTGTTTCTCAAATATACCTATTGAATTAAAAGCGAGCGCCTGCTCATTTATGACTCACATATTATTAGATCTATTTAGACTAACCAACTCTTTCTCAAAAAATTTCAATTTGTTTTAAGTAGTAGGTTAATAATATTATCTGGTGTTGTAAGGACGATTTACAAACATACATTTCACGTGGACAAACACCCAGATGCGAAACAACTATCTGTGGGTCACACAAATAGTTGTCCCGTGTGGGAATCGAACTCACGACCCCTGACGCCGAAGTCAGTAGCTTGGCAACTGCGCGACGGAGTCATCAAAATTTCTGAGAAGTTTTAATAGAAACTTTAAAAACTATTTAATTTTTTGGAAACTACTACAGAAAAGCACGAGGCGCAAAAAATGGTAACAGTAAATCTAGTAGGCCACACTTTAGCTTAAGCAAGAGTATAGACGAACCGAAGATATTGGCGAGAAGTGGAGAGATTAAGAGCAAAACCTCATCCTATTAATTACATTTGCACGCACATTTGCCACTCATCAATACCAGAACTAATCAATACCAGAACCCTCTAAACTGACACTACTCGGAGAATAATCCGATATTAGCTTAATGGAAATTAGAATGACTCTTTAACAAAGTGAGTACAGTAAGGATACATTACTACAGAATTAATGAAGGTGTACAGAATCAGCGAAAGAAACCCGATTTTAATGGAAAATTCATACTTATCAACAAAAAATTATTAAAACCCTCGTGAAACATTATTAACTTAATAATAAAACGGCTGAGCTCACGTTATGCCGGTGTATTTACAGACTAGTTTCAGACTTATCAGAGGTCCTTCATCAGGGTGAGTGAGATTAGTTCAGTTGGGTACTTGTGTAAAAAGAAGCAGCTGTTATGGTTTAAATATAGTGAAAATTAGAATACTAGCCTTTTCCTCCAATCCACGACTTTTATTTTGTATCATATTTTGTTCGCATATATTTTTTATTTTACATATATTTTGTAACTATTCCTATCATTTATTACTTATTAAGGAAGTTTTAATAATTAAAAAATATTACTTTGCATTAAAATAACATTTTAAACGAAAAACCCAGTTTCATTGCTGGCGGACGCCATCAATGCACGTTTTCACAAGAGCCAGTTAACCAATAAATTGAAAGCTTGTATATTGTTTAATAAAGAAACAAGGAGTTGATTAATCATAACCCAGTGAGAAAGTAATTGCCGTCATGTTACAATTGTATATAATTACACCCCTACAATATAGGGTATTTTACACTTTATTGGGAGTTACATTTTTAAGAGCATCAAGAAATATGTAATTGCCAAATAATAAAACTGATCCTAAAGATTTAAACATGTAAAACCCTCTAGAAAATTACCAAAGTAATGAGAGTAATTCCCTTCCCTTCATTTTTCCCCGTTTTCTTTCATTCCATTTCTGATAACGCATCAATCATTTCAAACTTACCATTTCCAAGATCTCTGACATTACCCTCTCAAATGTAATGAATTCACCTCACGGCGAGGAATATAACAGACTTTCTTTTAAAACATTATCGACCAAGTTTTTTGCACGTGAGTGTTATCTGCCTTTTAATTATTCCGCTGATATAAAACTTGAGCTCTTAGATTAATGATACAATATTATTATTCGGGAAAAGGCGGAACACTGACAGCAAGCCATCAGTCTTGTTTGTTGAAATAGGATTTTACTGTTTTGACACAACTGCATTATTTTTTTATGCAAATTCAGTTCCACCATGAGTTCTAATTTCAAATGGTTATGTTAAAAATACATATACAATGATTGTTATTTGTATGGAAAATATTTTATCTGGAGATGTGCCGTATTTCTAAACGTCGGAACCTAAAAATATGGGTATTGTTATAGTAGTATCCTGAGGGAATAATCTGCTTTGTAAACATTAATTATAAATGTTAATATCATATAAATTAAAGTCCATTTAAATTACTTAATTATTGGGTATCAAACATGTTTATATATTTTCATTATTAATTACGAATGCATAAGTAAGCTTTTGTAATTAAAGAACAATATCATTTCTCCGTTAATCCCCATCTGTGTATTTAATAATGCTATAGTCGCAAGTCTGCTCCCTAATTTTATTTCGTACAAATTGCTGAATGTTTTCCATGGCACTAAACTCGGAGAATCACTGTTTCTTGCTTAAATTACGAGTGAAATGGAATTACAATTTCACCTGAAGCACGTCCAGACGAATTTTCGCAGATAAAACATTTGAGCTAAATAAATCTAGTAATTGAGGTCCTTGCTTTTATAACGAAAACATTATGTCATAATGAATTGCTTTCAATTTCTCACTGATTTTATTTTTTTAGACATTTGATTTTTCAGTAATTTTTATTTTTTTTTTATGGAGAAAAGGGGCAAACGAGCAGGAGGCTCATCTGATGGTAAGTGATTACCGCCGCCCATGAACACCTGCAACACCCGAGGGCTCACAAATGCGTTGCCGGCCTTTTGTAAATCGCCAGAATGAATAACATCGCCGTAAGTCACTTTAGCTATATCACTTAGTTCTTTAGTTTTCCTTCATTCCCACTTTCCTCGTATACAAACTAATGAATCATCTCTCAATATTCTTGTCTATACTATAATATTATTTTAAGATACATTTCTTCATGATTTTATAAATCATGAACAAGCTGCCTTAATGGCAAACTCAAAGCTTGAATTAAAGGCGAGCGCCCGGACACTGAGCTATCACGGCTCAGTGTCCGGGGGCTCGCCTTTAATTCAATATACTCGAGCAACCTGAGTTCGATCCCCGGTGCCGGCACCAATGAAGTTTTTAACTTTAAGTGCTGACTTATCACGTGCAACGCGGTGAAGAAAAACATCGTGAGGAAATCTACATATTTTCGAATTAATAAAAAAAAATTCAAAATATGTGAAGTCCGCCAATCCGCAGTGGGGCCGCGTGGTGGACTATGCCCTGATGCCCTCTGTATGGAGGAGGCCTTTGGCCAGCAGTGGGACATGTATAGGCTGTTACTTAACTTTACTTTTATAAATCATAAATGATCGGAATGAATTTTATTCACATGTATATATTGAAATATTATACGTTGATAGAGAAACTTTATTGTTAAGAATCTAATTTTGGAATGCAAACATAAACTCTGTATTATTTTAACAACAGAATAGGTTGAAATCTATCTATTTACTTGATATTGAGGATTTTTAAATTCCATTCATGTTTAAACCCACATTCATAATGCACTAATATTTAACTAAGTTTCTGGCTCAAACCAATACTAAAGTGAGAACTCAATGTGTAGTATGTGTAGTATTCGTTTTATATTTAATTTATTTACACAGCACTAGTAAAATATATTTGTTAGGTAGTTGTTTGTTTATTGCATAGGCATGTAAAATGGGTAACATCTGTTTATGACTAAAATATGGGCCTATTTACAATTTTTCTGAGTTTTCTACTATAGAAAGGACTCGATTGTCTTCAACATTGCCGGCGTATCTCACACGAGACAGCTATTAGTATGACTTACAAATAATTGTTCTTAATTTTTGTATTTACAAACAGTCTGCTTATAAAACGCCATTAATAACAGATATATCCTTTAGTACAGCAAAAGTATTTTTTTTCCAAAAAAAGAATGACTTATTAACAGAGTAAGTACTTTGCTTTAATTTATCAAAACTTGATTGACATCGCGACATTTTGTGTATTTGTAAAATGAAGTTGTCTAAAGTATGCTAATTATTGATTTCTAAATCACTTAGCAATGAATGAGAACTTCTAGAAATGTATTCGCCTCAATCGTCCCATAACGCCCGCGGTAATGGAAAAATCCCAGGGCATTAATATTCATAAGCAGAAACAAGGGTTCTTTGACTCGTCGAAATGTTTTAAGCAAAAACTTTTCAGATATCTCTGAAAGTCGATTTAAGATGGCGTTATAAAAATACCTCCAATGATATTAGTTTTAATTTTTTTCCTTATTTTAAGCTATTTTATTTCTTTAGCTTAGTGACATTGATCGATATTATTTTGAATTCATTTAATAAGTAATATGCATAATTTATGTGTTATAAAATGTTGTAATATAATTAACAAAAAATAAATTATAGTAAAGAGGTAGACATGAAATGAATACTTTTCCGGTCTGCTTGCCCAAGTATCGATTATCTTTCGACTCGGGCGGCTTTTGGGCCTTAGGCTTCTTAGCGACAGTTGCCCACGTGTTCTTCTCTGCAGGTGCTGTTAATTGGTGCACGGGCTCAGTTACTAGTTACTAGGGGCAAATCCAGTACCGACGGCTGAAAGGCCCTTTTCCTCTTCCGCTTAGGTTTCGCTGATTTGGACAGCGACTGCACCGACTCAGTAGTTGCTATAGTCATCGTTCCCAATGGCTGACGATGCGTGGCACCTGGGAATAATCTGGACTCAAAAGCAGCCAGCTTACTCTCAACCAAGGCCCCAATGCGTTCCATCATCTTTTCCTCATCGCTCTTATACCTTGAACCTGATGGCGTATACTCAGCAGAAGAGTGGGTCTTACTGGCTCGCTCTTGGGTCTGCTTACGGAGGTGTTTAATTTCTTCCGTACGTTTCTCCATCCTACCGGCAAGACTGGAAAGCTCTGAACGAAGTTCAGCGTTTTCTTTTTCCAGTCTTGCTACAATTCCGGTAGTACCGGACCTCCTCGAAAGTTCATTGGCTGCAGCTCTCACGTGTACATTTTTGTTTAAATAACCGTAATGGTCTTATATTCAATGTCGTTAATTTATCGCGACAATATTACCCTAATGAATGATTTTTTTATCAAGTTTTATCAAAAGAATAAATTAAGGGACATTAGGGTAACGAATCTAAAAAGTATTTGCCTATTGAAACAATAAAACGCATTTAAATCTATGAAATCCATTCTTGCAAAATACCACGTTTTCATACCTAATCTGCCTATTAGGAATTTCCCTTTCAGAATATAAAGAACAACACGGAACAAATATAATTAAACTGTTTCGCGATATGGGCGAAAGTTTCGCACAGCTGTGCTTTCATGATTGCAAAATATATGCTAAATCTGCGTATAACAGTTTTATACAAAATCGCACGACAAATTTTATTAATACTGCCGTTCTTTTTCATAAATTGTACAACTATTTAAATGCTTCGTTAAATTCTGAAAGTTTAGTTAATGTAATTTCGTTCATATTTACCAAACAATCTTAATCAGGATTCGGTTGATTTTTAAATCGTTAGAAATGTTACTTATTATGTGATACTATACATTTTTCATTTTGATAAAATCATAAAATCATAAATAATTAGCATTTTTTTAGTATTCTACAAAAAATATTTCACTACAGTAAATGGTTTCAGATAATTATTTATAAGAATCCACAGTTCTTATCTTAGCAAGTTAAGTATATGTTTTTATATTGCAATTGACAACTTGAATGATTTCCGGTGTAGTTTCCAAGGTATTGACTTCGGTGCCCCGCTCGTGGGTTCGATTCCCACACGGGACAAATATTTCTGTTACTCACGATTTTTTCGAAAAATTGTTTCGAATCTGGGTGCTTTTCGACGTGAAATTTATATTTGCAAAATGTCCTTAAAACCCAGGATAATGTTATCCTACAGTTAGGGCATGTGCAACCGCACAGCACAGGTTCAATGTTTTATACATATAAACCTTCCTCTTGCATCACTCTATCTATTAAAAAAAACCGCACCAAAATCCGTTGCGTAGTTTTAAACATCTAAGCATATATTATGTATGGACAGACAGACAGCGGGGCGACTTTTTTGTACTATGTAGTGATAACACTCCAATTATAATTCACCTCAGTATAAAGAGAATTAAGTTAAATCTTAACATGCACTGCGCTAGTTTAACTCGCTAGTTTATCTACTTTTTTAAAATATGTATAATAACTGAAAACGTGGTTAAAATTAAGGATCTATATCATTTAAGAATTTGAAATAACTGGTATTGAATGTTTACCAGAACTTTTAGCGCTTCTCTCACTTAATGTTTGCCAAACACTATTGAATAATTTATATTACAGCGACAAGGTGCAAAGTGGGCTGTATAATAGTGCCCTTACAGTTTACAGTGCGGATAACAAAGTAAAATCTATTACGGCAAATAGCTTTGCTCCATTAGAGGTGAAGTCGATAAATGTTCACTACGTAGAGGACGTATGGCTGATGCCAAGGGTTAGTGCTTTTGTTATGTACCGGAGCTAACGTTGCGAGTGAGAAGCATGTTTATTTACGGTTTGCATATATTACTCTCTGAATAAATAATAGAAGGATAAGCAAATCTATATATATTACATAAAAGAGAATGTATGCCTGTATGTATGGTCACCGTTATCGAGAACCTAAATCGTTATAGAAACCTAAGGAATAGTGACAGACATAAATCAAACACTAGAAATAAGGACTAACTTACTACGCCATTGTTTCGGCTACAAAAAGTAAATAGTTCATTCATGGGGCAAGATGTGCGAATGTATAATAAAATCCCACAGTCGATATTAAGTCTACCGCTTTATCAATTTAAACGTAATATTAAAAGTCAACTTATGGTTAAAGCATATTATGCACTTGCGGAATATATCGACGACACCAATGTATGGAGTTAATACTGTTGATACTCACGTAGGCTAGAATAAGACTATACCTGTATGTTGTATATGACTATACCTATATTGTAAACTGATATTTTGTAAAGAGAGCAACTGTTGAGTTTCCTGCCGGTCACTACTGTAGTCAAGGTGGTTCCTTACAAACCTATATATATAATTTTTATGTTAAATTTGACGATTCATAAGAACGCGCTAGCGTCTATTTGAATAAAGAAAAATTTGATTTGATTTGAGAACCGTTAGCCTAATGGATATGAAATTTAGCATATATGTAAAGGACGACATGACCACTCCGACGAATAGTTACGTTAGTGCCGGTGACACTGTTGACAGTGTTTATTTCTAGGTCAAGGGAACGCACCGGACACTATCTCGTGCTTAATATTTTAGAGATGCCCTTAAGCTAGAATAGATAGATTTTTAGCTGTGTGCTTTCTCAATCTTATTGCCATTTCGTGAACAATCAACTACTAAATTCGCAATATAATGGTGTGACAAAACGTTTCTGACTAGGAAAGAATATAAAACTTAAAAAATAATCGATTACCTTTTTTTATAAATCGTTTTGTTATTTCCATATAGGAATGATTATATGCTATTCGTAATTAGCTACACAGTTGCTAAGTGCTTTCCACCGAAATAAGGTACTAAGAAATGCTAATTACTCATCAAAAGCGTTGGTAATTTGCGTACACCAAAGAAGCGTAGCAATTCACCAGCTTCCGTTTCTCCGTCTTATTTTTTTTTACTTTTAACAACTATTTCATAAAAGGCAAAAACGAATATGTTTCAACTGGGATAGTGCAGTTTTAATCCTCAGTAATTCTTGCTAGTTTATTAATTAAAAAGATTTAAGAGAAATATCTAATACCTAGCTACGAGACAGGTGATCCAAAAGTATCTAAAACTTTTATTTATAGTTTGCATAAAATTCCAAATAATTTTTTCTAACTGCTAGAACCACTAAGTTGGCCACACAAGCCACGATTCGTTGGCCACAACCAGCCACGATTCGTTGAAGAAAATACATCAAAACGGAGAAAATGAAATTATGCCTGTCATCGGACTTACTCTGATTGAAAAAAAAAAGTCTATCAATGACTTACACAATGATTTGCTGGAAACTTTACTGTTACATTTTCCACGGAAGATGAATTCCTCGAAAGGTTTCCGTCCCCGTCCCGCGCTAAACGTGAAAAATGTCGAAGATGGCATGTTAGCATATTGAAGAGTGATGTCTGAGTGATCACTCAGATCAGGAATGTAGCTGGGATGACAGGGGTCTCGTATGGCAGTGTTAATAGTTAAGTAAAGTAACAGCATGTATACGTCCCGCCGCTGGGCATCCTAGGACGCTAGGCTCCTCCGAAAAGAGGGTATACTGTGGTAGGGATACGCATCAGGCTCCTCTGTTGCATGAATCGGCAGGTCCGTCCGGAGAATTTTCACCTCGTGTGTCAGAATAACCAGGGCCAACTTTAAAGTTGGCCCTGTTGGTTGGCCCTTTAAACTCTAAAGATGACAACGCAGCTACAAACCTGTGTGTTGCTAATTTCCATGGGCGGTGATTTTCACTTAACATTAAGTGAAACGCTAGCTCGCTTGCCACATAAAAAATAGTCCACAACGCGACCCCACTGCGGATTGGTCGAATTTACATAATTATCATCGAATTTTTTTTGTTATTATTTCGAAAATATGCAGGTTTCCTCAAGATGTTTTCCTTCACCGCTGAGCACATGATTAATCATCAGTTAAAATTGATAATTTTATTAGTTCAGGCACCGGGATTTGAACTCGGGTTGCTCGAGTACATTCAATTAAAAGCCTATACAATGAGCTATCACAGAGCTGTTAATGGATCCTTGCCATTTAATTACATATGGTCTCGAACAAAACAAGAAACAAGTCGACATTTTGAGGGAATTTTGAATCTCGAAGAGTTCCAGAATTTTTACTACGTTTGATCATGGGTGAAAACTGGATCCACCGTTTCAATTCGGAAACAGAATAGAAATCGATGACCAGCAAACAAATCTCTTCACCGCCGCCGAAGGAATTCAAGGTGTCGAATTCGACATGTAAGATTATGTCATCAGTTCTTACTAAGAAGATTAATTAAGAATATTACAGAAGCTATTAAAATGAAAAAGACTTGAGCCAAAGTTCTGTTTCATTTGTGTGTTACAAAGGTTTACATGGCTGCATGGATGATTTGACTTGACGTAGAACCCGTTCTACTTGCGAGATCAAGATTCCAGTGAATTTTACCTCTTTCCTTGGACCAAGGAATATATTCGGGGAAAGAAGGGTGCGAAAAGTAAATACCTATGATTTACTTTTCTATATACTGTGCTCTGCATTTCAAATTCTTGAACCATTTAAAAAAAAAACGCGCGAAGACGTAATTATCCACACTTATCGGTATCGCCAAAGAAGCCCGAATCGTGAAAACGTCCCTGTAATGAAATCAAATCTCTGGCAGGATTAAAGGCGGCCGCTTTGCCGCATCACAATTTAACGTAATTCCCTCTAAAGGAAAATTCCATTCTTTTCGCAATTTGAAAAGACAGCAATTTCGTCGGCGAGGTTACTTTGACAGTGTCCCGGATATCTTTTGTCAAGTTTCGGCATCGGCATCGATTGGACGATTTATTTTAATCAAATAGGAGATGAATTCGAAAGCTGAAAGCGAAACTTAATAAAGATATCGAACAATATACGTTACTTGATTGTATTTATAGATATTATTGGTAATTTTGACTCACAGTAGTGGTTTATTTACGTAAATACAACACTTCCCTGCAACACGCGTTCACCTTTAAGCTCTCTAAGAGCAACCTTCAGTTGATTTGAAAAAAGGTCACTAACCGTCAAATATTTTGAAAGATAAGGATATATAAATTTCAATCGTGAGTCGTTTTGACTCACGTTATGTATTAGGGTTAACGCGTTGA